TACTTTATTAATTACCATACCATCCCCAATCAATAAAATAATAGACAAAAAAGAATGTATCAGAATGAAAGGCAAGTGTAGCAACTCAAAAATAAATGAATGATTGGCTTCAGAATTAAAAAAATATAATAGGGCATATAAAAATGTAAGCAATACCTATAAACACATTCAAAGCGTCTCTGGCCTAATGCCAAGTCAAACTTTATAAACAGTCTGAATTGGAGATGAAATAATAAAACTACCAAAAATGCCAATCATATCTATAAATACATTCAGAGCATCTCTGACCTCATGCTGAGTCAAATTGTATGCATAGATTGAATTGGAGATGGAACAATAGAGAACTACTAGCTCTCTCTAACAACTCATAGACGGTTTCCTTGCTATATAACTAGAGCCACTACCTTTGTTAGAAAATCCCTCAACAATCACATGGGGTGGCATAGTTCCTGGCCTCCCTGTCGGTCTAATAGAACTCTCAAACCTGGGCTCAAAATGTCGATTATGTCCTACCTGGGGACACTCAACTATCATGTGCCTAATCTAACCACACTAAAGCATTCATTTGTCATCCTGTAATACTGACCAAAGTGTCTCCTACCACAACTCTGGCACACAGGTGCCCTACTAACAAAACTTCCAGAACTGACAATACTACCGCACCAGGAACTAAAACTAATGGTCCACCTCTCCTAAAATCTCTAAGTCCAATCTCATTCTTCTTCCAATAAAATTCACAATAAGATTCTCACCACTAAACATTTTTCTACTTGCAACCAACTATTGTTAGGGAGCTAAAAGACCATTCTCAATCAAATGGGCCCTCTCCACTAATTCAGAGATATCATTAATGTGAAATGGAACTAATGGTTCCTTGAGACTATCTCAGAACCTTCTTAGATGCATGTAGCACTTCTCCTTGATAGTGTTAACTACGGAGCATATATGGCCAAGGTAGTGAACTTTAACGCTTACTGCATAACTATCATGCTCCTCTGAACTAACCTCAGAAATATCTCCTGCATCTGTTATCGCACAGATGGGGGTACGAATCACAATTTTAAGACATCTATAAACTTATGTCAATTGATCAGGGAATTCAGCCTTCCCTGAAATTTCTCCTTATATTAACCCAATCACTAAAACTCAGCCTCCCTATCAAATAGAAACAGAGACAGAGGTACCTTCATCTCAAGAAGACATTCCATCCCATAAAAAAATATTCTTTAATCGCCTCAACCAGCCCTCTACTACTTTGGCTAAATAAGGCCCTTAAACCCTAGAGGCTTTAACCTTAGAAATATCTATAAATGTCTGCCTGCATCATCAAATTTGTTAGAAGAATTCTGCTCTAGGCCTCGCCCATCAACTATGTTATCAGACTAGAAAACTAAGTCATTGAATCAAAACTAATAATAGGAGAAGTACTTTATATTGGTGTTGTCGGACAAACACTACCTATTTATCATGAGCGGGTCATATAGATCCATCAATTAATCACTTAAGTAACACATTATTGAATAGACATGTACATGCAAATAAACAGAAATGAATGTCCAATACTACTCAGAACTATCTCACACAACTACATATCATTTCCTATAGCTCTTTTACAATTAGTCATCCAAAACCATTCTTTGATACCAAAAAGAGTACCACAAACCAACTCAATATAACCTGCAAACAAAACAAGTCATATCATATTGAATGGTGACAGATCAAGCATTTAGATCTAAGTTTTAAATCTTTTTCAATTTCTTAAATTTAAAAGAGACCACAAAACTAACAGAACATGATTACTGATCAGATCAAAATAAGATAAAAAAAAAAAAGTTAGTCACGACTGTACAAAAATTTAGGAATACCAATGACAACTCATACATATAAGAATCTAGAACTATAACTACTCAACTAACTCTTTCCCATTTTCCTGATCTAAAATAGAATGTATAATAAGTATAAGCCAACATAGCTCATCAAATCACATTCAACGATCTAAATTTTTAATAATTAACCTATTACACATTTAATTGGGTTTTAAAATCAATTAATAACAACTCAATGTACTCAGCAAAATAATGCTTATAGATATAAAAAAATTAAATAACAACAACATCATCATCATCAAGCCTTTATCCCACTATGTGGGGTCGGCCACATGAATCATTTTCTTCATTGTGTCTCGTTAACTGTTAAATTCTCATTTAAATCTAATAAAAAAATTCATTTCTAATATTTTCTAACCAAATTTTTTAGGTCTACCTCTAACTTTTTTAATATAAGTCAAATCTAATGCATCTACTTTCCCAATCGGGCATCGAAATGCTATTATTTTATGTGACCAAACTATCTAAGACAACTCTCTCCAACCTTACCTTCCACTAGAGCTACTCCAACCTTTTCACGTATATGCTAATTTAGTATCTTGTCTCTAAGAGTAAAGTCATACATCCACCTAAGCATCCTCAACTCTACAACAATTAACTTAATATTATGCTTCTCTTTTAATAGCCAACATTCTGCACCTTAAAGCATTGCAGATCTAACCACCATCTTATAGAATTTTTCCTTAAGATTGAGGAGGACTTTCTATCACACAACAAGCCTGGTGCATTCCTCCTCTTCAACCATCCAACTTGAATTCTATTAATAATATCACAATCTATTTCACTATCACTCTAAACAATTGACTTAAGATAAAGAAAACATGTACTCTTATTAATGACTTGATCATCCAAAGTTATAATCCCCCCACTAGATATATTATTACTAAAATTGCACTCCATATATTAAGTTTTAGATCTACTCAACTGAAAGCCTTTAGACTCTAAAGTTGAACACCATAATTCAAGTTTATCTTCAACTCCCTCTCTAGTCTTATCAACAAGAAGAATATCATCAATAAAAAGCATACACCAGGGGAAAACCTCTTGCAAATGTCTAGCGAGAACACTCATGACTAAAGCAAAAAAAGATATGGGCTTAGGGCTAATCATTGATGTAATCCAACTGAAATAGGAAAATACTCGATCAAACCACCTTGTGTTTGAATATAAACATTAACTTCTTTCTTTTTTATAAATCTCCATAACAGTTCTCTTGATAGTTTAGCACATGCTTTCTCTAAATTAATAAATATCATATATAAATCCTCCTTATTCTCTATATACTTCTGCATCAAAACTCTCAATAAATGTATAGCTTCCATAGTAGGCCTACCCACCAAGAATCCAAATTGGTTTTGTAAAACATTAGTATAACATCACAACCACGCTTCATAACTCTTTCACATAGTTTTAAAATATGACACATTAACTTAATTCCTCTATAATTTACACAATTTTGTGCTCTAACTTTATTCTTAAAAATAAGAATCAAAAAATTCATTCTCCACTAATCTGACATTTTTTTGTCTTTAAAATAATATTAAAAATATTAGTAAGTTAAGAAATTTCTTCATCTCCTAAGCATTTTCACAACTCTATTAAAATATCAAGTCAAACAGTTTTTCCACACTTTTTCTTTAAAGTTTCTCTAACTTTAATTTTACTAAGATGCCGATAAAAATAAAAATAAAAATCTTTATTTTCATTTAAGGTGCTAAGGTCACTAAAGTCAATCGCATTGTCATAATCTTCATTAAAAATTTAAAAAAATATCTCATCCACTTGAATTGAATAATGAATATCCTCTTTTAATAAAAGTTTAAATAATAAAGTAGAAAAAAATAAATAATCAATATTCTATATACAAAAGCAAAAAATAAGCCAAAAGAATTTTTTTCTAATACTCTTACTCATAAGTTTTAGGAGAGATATTAGACCATAAATGCTTTACTTTAAGCTAATACTATTTTACTCATGAATCTATTTATCTAGTAGCGTTGCAACATGACCTTGATGTGACAAGCTCAGGTACGCGTCATCAGTATACTATAGGTCGACATTACTTGATAGGATTAGTTTTTTTTTTTTTCCCTTTTGTAAAAGACATTTTTAAAAAATATTAGTTCAGAAAATGGAGTTTTCTAATTGAGAAACATATATAAAAAAGAATTCAAAACTGCAGAAAAATGAAAAAAATGAAGTTGTTGAGAACGTGATTTGACGAACCAAACAGCACAAAAAAAATCCTTCGTTTCCAAACGAAAAAGAAAAAAAAACGCTCAAACAAACAAAGCCTTAATTTGAGATAGCGTTTTAAAGCAGTTTTTTAATCATTTTAAAATAATAATAATAATAATGATCTAAAACTATCTAAAACAATGCCTTAACCAGACGACTCTTGAAACATAAACATATCAGACATTCACATTCATGCAATTCAAGGGTTTAAGTATATTGAACGCTTTCTATATTTTTACCAAAAGAAAAGCAAAGTCGAAGCAACCAGATTACATAATTCACGTACATAATTTTAAAGAAAAAAAAAAACACTGTTACTACTTTTGAATGTGCATTGGATATTTGGTTGAAAATCATGTTTCAGCACATCAGCCAGAAGATGATAAGAACTTCGGATGATAAACAGTATATAATCAGTCGTCCCAACAATAAGGCCGATTTTACAGTTGTTCAGACTCTGACAAATGGCTTGTAAACTCTTTACCTTTAATAGAACAACTGGTATGTATTTTCATTGTATTTCAAAACTCAACTTCATAAATATATAAACACAATTTTTATATAACAAGACAAAAAAGAGAATCCTTGAAAGCATTTGGATGGAAAAGGAAAAAAAAATTATATATCTCAAAAACATTTAAAACTCGCCAAATATTTTTTAAAACAAAATTGAATAAAAAATCCATTTTATTATATTTTCAATTATTAATATATATATATTTATATATAAAGAAACAGTACAGTGGTTCACAAAGTAAAACAAAATAAGAAGCAACCTAAATCAAAACCAAATCTTCTACTATGATACCTAGACTACAATTTAGGACCTTGAATATGAGGGGGCTATTTAATATTAACTTTACAACAAAGAGCATGTGAAAAGTAAATCACCCATCTAGATAAGAATCTCAATCATGTTTCAAGTAATCCAATTCTATTTTGTTTGTATAATGTCAATTTACAAAATCAATACGAACATAGATCTCGTTTTCAAAACCACCTAAAAGTGAGTTCAATAAAACCTATTAAGTTAACAAAAAAGTGCAAAAATAACATAAATTTGGTTTTACATGCTATAATAAGATCACCTTCCTCGTGAGTCGAGTCGACCATTTTGTTAGTCCATAGGCCCAAAGATAACCAATAGAGCGTTCAATCTCCATGAATAGTGTACCTTTCCCATTTTTTAGTTGGATCATATATCTGATTAAAAAAAGTTAAAATATCAGCATAAAAAGTAAAGAAAAATCAACCTTCAAAGAAATTGAAGAGTTAATCTTATGGTGCGTGGAAAACAATTAATCAATAAAGTGGGTCCATTTTGGATCGTAAGACTATTGTGAAAAAAATATATGTTTTTAAAAGCTAATATGGGTATTGATAAGTCTTTTTATTTTTAAAACACTCTCATTGTCAGATCCTAAATCCAAAATGAGAAAAGCGAATGATTGCATTAAAAAGTTGATATATGAATCTTTTAATATATTGTTCTAATGCTAGGATGTTCCCTAGAAACGAAAAGTTATATGACCTGAATACAACAAGAAGTGTGCAATGGCCGCTGCACTAGCGCCCAAGTGCAGTGTTAAATTAGAGTTCCCACATCATGGATAAATGTGGGCATATAAATTGGTCTATGAAACTAGAATTAGAATAGAAACTTAAAATATATATTCTCTTATAGGAAAATTAATGAAATAAATATATATTATAATTCATAGGAAAATAAATATTCTATATATCTAGAAAACTACATGAGTTTGAGAGAAGACTATGGAGATTGATAGAATAAAATTTAAATTATGGTATTCAGGTAAGTGTCATACTAAACATGATGTAGGTGTGATTATAGATAAGAGTTTGAAAAAAAATATTATAAAAATTAATAAAATTGAAGATAAAATTATAGCTTTAAAAATTACTATTGATGCTAAGATTTTAATAATATAAGGAATTCTACTCCTCAAGTAAGTTTGAATATGTATTCAAAATTAAAATTCTGAAATGACTTGGAAGAATGAATACAAAGGGTAATTCTTGAAGAAAGAGTATTCATGAGAAGAAATTTATACGAAAATATTAGTGGAGTGGTAGAGGACTTTAAAAGCATTTATGGAGGCTACGAGTTTAGAGCGACCAATGAAGGTAGTAAAATTATATTAGATTTGTTCTAGTTTATGATTTTGTAATTGCTAATATTTTATTTAAGAAAAGAGAGAAATATCGCATTACTCATATGAATGGATATAATAAAACTCAGATTGATTATTTTCTTATAAGAAAAACATATTGTTTAGATTACAAAGATTGTAAAATTTTTCTAAGAGAAATTTATGTATCAAGCATCGCTTTTTAATTTTGGATTTTAAGATGAATGAGCGAAAAATAAAATGTTATCATAGGATTAGATTGGGATATTCAAACAAGACTACAAAAATTTAAGAATAAGATTCAAGATCTTAAAATTTTACCTGTACATAGGAAAGTTGATATTACATGAAAAAAATAGCTAGTCATATTAAAAAAGTTGCAAAGGATATGATGTAGTATCTACAAAAAAAGCTCCAAATAATAAAAATAGTTGATGGTGGAATCAAAATATGCAACAAAAGATTTAAAAAAATAAGTTTTGTTATAAAAAACTATTTTAATATAAAAGATAAAAAGATTTGGAAAGATATAAAAAGATATGTAAAGAGTTTAAGAAAGTAATATGCGATGCAAGAAATTAAACTTTTAACAATTTGCATAATTGATTAGATACAAAGGAGGGTTAAAGATATGTGGATAAGTTAGTCAAACAAAGAGAAAGGAGAACTAAAAAATTTAGTTCAAGTGAAATGCGTTAAGGATGAAGGTCAAAAAGTACTTTTATTATAAGAGAATATTCAACAAAGATAGAGAAGATATTTCGATAAGCTTTTCTTTCAATGAAAATTGTAAGAAAACAATTGACTTTAGTGACTTAGCAATCTAAATAAAAATAGAGATTTTTATTTGTATCGTCACATTAGTAAAATTGAATTAGAGACCATTTAAAGAAAATGAAGTGTAGAAAAGTTGTTGGACTTGATGATATTCTAAAAGAGGTGAAAATGCTTAGGAGATGAAGGTATTTCTTAGCTTACGAAACTTTTAAATATTATTTTGAAAACTAAAAAGATGTCAAATGATTGGTGGCAGGAATATATTAATTCTGATTTTTAAAAATAAAGGTGATGCACAAGAGTTTGTGAATTATAGAGGAATTATGTTAATGCGGTATATATTAAAACTATGGGATAGAGTTATTAAGCACATGTTACGCTGTGATACTAATGTTTCTCAAAATCAATTTAGATTCTTATAAGGTAGGTCTATTATAAAAGCTATATATTTATTGAGAGGCTTAATGGATAAGTAAAGAGAAAATAAGGATGATCTACATATAATATTTATTGATTTAGAAAAATCATATGATAAAGTTTTAAAAGAAGTGTTATGGAGAGTTCTAGAAAAGAAAGGAGTTAATAATGATTATATTCAAGTCATTAAAGATATGTATGTAGAAGTTGTTACTTGTGTTCAAACACAGAGTGGTTTGACCAAGTATTTTCCTATTTCAGTTGGATTACATCAAGGATTAACTTTAAATCCATATCTTTTTGCTTTAGTCTTAGATGTTTTTATAAGACATTTGCAGGAGTATGTACCTTGGTGTATACTTATTGTTGATGATATTCTCCTTTTTTATTAGACTAGAGAAGGCGTTGAAGGAAAACTTGAATTATGGAGGTCAACCTTAGAGTTTAAAGGTTTTAAATTAAGTAGATCTAAAACCGAATAAATAGAGTATAATTTTAATACTAATAGATCTAGTGAGGGGATTGTGACTTTGGAAAATTAAGTCATTAACAAGAGTATACATTTTAGATATCTCGAGTCTACTGTCCAAAATAATAGTGAAATAGATGTGGATATTATTAGTAGAATTCAAGTTAGGTTGTTGAAGTGGAGGAAAGCACCCGGCTTGTTGTGTGAGAAAAAAGTACCCCTCAATCTTAAGGGGAAATTCTATAAGATGGTGGTGAGACCTGTTACGCCCAATTTTGATCCCTTATATTCAATCTAGAGTGTAATAGAGAAAGAATTTGAACAATCTTATCTCTTACTAATACACATCCTAAAATACTTCTATCAGGACTAAGAGAGTAGAAAATGATCAATCCAAACTTGTTCCAAAACTTCAAATTTATCAAAATTTAAGACTATAATCAATATTTCATAATTCGAAGCATATTTAAACACATCTAGTAAATATATCAAGTAAAATACAGAGCTCTACTAAACTTTTAAATAATATTTACATACCAAAAAATGTTTGTACAACTTTTACTTTGATCTTCATGTTCACCCAAAACGTATATACCCAAAAACACGTCCTATCTAATGTCCTACTGACTCATCATTTCATGCAGTACAACCACTGCTAATGAGCTAGAACTTAATGAAATATATAATCAATGTATAAGAAATAATAAGCATGTTTGCAATCAATTGAAAACTCAAAATTTTTTATAATTAACATAAAATGCACATAACATCATTTTCTGTTATGTTCATTATTCAACCATTTTATACGTGTAATATGATAACTATAGGCTTTTACACATCTAAAGCTTTTTAATTTAAGGTTGGATCCGCATTCTCAATTCTTAAAATTGAAGTACTCCCTCATTCAAGGTTAGATCCGAATTTTCAACTTTGAGAATTTCAAGAGTGTAGCCTCACCAAATCAAGTCTTTTGTCTTTACTTGTGCAAGCATAACTCAAATATATGACATATCCCACATTTTCATAACAATTATATATTTCCCTCATATATATTATTATAATAATTCTTTGATGAATCATTAACTAATTACAGAATAAAACTGCAATTAATGTCATCAAAATCATATACAATGTGAACTTATAATTATATAATTTTTTTCAATTTTTTATATCATAGTTTGAGTATCTCACCTTGTTAGGAATCGATTCTTTTAAACTGTGTCTTCTTTTTCTTTCGTAGAACATCTCTATCAAACCTCTTCTCATTCAACCCAAATTTTCTCTCCTAAATTCAACCACATTAGAATTTAGTCAACAGTCTTTTTTCTCTCTCTCTACTTTTTACTAGCTCTATAAACAATCACCAAAAATTCTTTTCTTGTTCTTAGTTCCCTAGCTGAATTTAATGATCAATAGTTGATTTTAATAACTGAAGTAAATTTCATTAATGAATTCAGCAAACAGCAACTGCAGCAGCCCCTTACCTCTTTTCTTTTTTGAATTCAATAGTTAATTACTAAGATCCACTATTAACAATTAACTACTTAACTTTCATTGTAGCCTTTTCGATTATCTAAAAATGTAGTGGACTGATTACTAGAGAGGGCAATCAATGCTTGTGATCAACTAATAAGTATTAGTGGAATTAAGTTCATGTATTTAATATTTGGCGGAGTGAAAATCCCCTCCCGTTGTTTTATACTTGGAGTTGAGTGGCTAGTCGCAAGCATGAGAGTTGGGAAGGGCTGAAGCGAAGACAACTGTGGGCTGGGGGAATGTTAGCAAGGGATATAGTAAAGAGGTAAGGACTGAAATTAAAATTTCAAAAATTTTGTTATACGTTGAATTCAATTCAGTAATTATGAGAGGGAGAAAAGATAATATTAATTTTATTTGCTTAAATAAGAGTTAGTTGAAATTAGTTTTGATTGAAATCAGTTTGTTGTTCGCTGAATTCAAGAAAAACCAAAAAAGAGGTAAGGGGTTGTTGCAATTGTTGCTTGCTGAATTCATTAGTGAAATTTATTGCAGTTATAAAATTAACTATTGATCATTAAATCAACTAAAAAATTAAGAGTAACAAAATGATTTTTGATGACTATTGTTGGAACTAATAAAAAGTAGAGAAAAAAAAGTATGTTGGCTGAATTCTAAAATGGCTGATTGTTGAATTCAAGAGAGAAATTTATAGTTGAATGATAAGAGGCTTGGTGGAGAAGGTGTATAAAAAGAAAAGAATACAGAATTAAGGAGAACTAATTACTAACATGGTAAGATACTAAAATCATGGAATAGGAAATAGAAAAATTTTATATAATTATAAACTCACATTGTATATAATTTTGATGACATTAATTCCAGTCTCATTCTATAGTTGATTAACGATTCATCAAACAAGTATTACAATAACATATTTTTATCATGATAGTTATGAAAAGGTGAGGTAGGTCATATATGGTGGATATGCCCACACAAGTAAAGGTGAAAGACCTGACGAGGTAATCCTAATAAATGTTTGGAATCGGACCCAACCTTAAATGAGAGAAAAGATTTAATTCTAAAAATTGGGAATGCGGACCCAACCTTGAATTAGAAAGTTGTAAGTATGTAAAAGCTTATAAACATCATATAACTTCCATAAAAATATTGAACAGTGAACATAACAGAAAGTAAGGTTTTGTACATCTTATATTTATTATAGAAATTTTCTTGCGTTTTCAATTTATTACGAACATACTTAATTATTTTTTATATATTGTTTGCATATTTCAGTGAGCTCAAGCTCATTAGTAGTAATTGTACTATAAAAAAGAAGTGGGGCATTAAACAGGATGGATGACTACCCTTTTTGGGTACATACATTTTGGCTATACATAGAGTTTAAAGTAGAAGTTGTATAGAACTTTTGGGTACGTAAACATTATATGAAAGTTTAGTAAATTTCTATATTTTACTTGATGTATTTGCTAGATGTGTTTAAATATACTTTCAGTTATAAAATATTGATTATAGTCTTAACTTTTAAAAAACTATAAATTTTGGAAGAGTTTGGATTGACCATTTCCTACTTGGCCCTGATAGAAATATTTTAGGATGGGTCTTAGTAAGAGATAAGTTTGTTTAGATTCTCCCTCTCTGTTATACTCTAGATTGGCTATAGGGGGTCAAAATAAAGTGTGACAAGACCAATGCTTTAAGGTGCAAAATGTTGGACATTAAAAGAGAAACATACAAAATAAGTTAAGTGTTGCAGAGATAAGAATGCTTAGGTGGATGTATGGCTTCACTCTGAAAGACGAAATCCAAAAGAGTATATACATGAAAAAGTTGGAGTAGTCCCAACGACAGATAAGATCAGAGAGTCCCCTTAGATAGTTTTGACATATAATATGACTCGGTTGAGAGACCCGGTTGAGAGAGTTGATGTATTGGATTTGGTAGAGCAGAGGTAGACCTAAAAAGACTTGATTATAAAATATTTTAAATGGTCTTTTTTTATTAGATTTAAATGAGAATTTTACTCTTAAAAAGACACAATGCAGAATAATGATTTATGTAGCCGACTCCATGTAATGAGATAAAGGCTTGATGTAGTTGTAGCTATCACACTCTAGCATATCAATTATAAAAAATTGTTATATATTACAGAAATTTAAAAAAAAATAATTATAAATTATAACCCAATAGAATTATGGCAGCTATCTACAAAACAATATTATAAAAAAAAAAACTATCACAAAGAGGCTCTTCATGAAAATACCATACATTCTGAAGAAAATGAGACAGCATAGACGAAAATACCTCCCATCTTGAAGCAGGAAATATATGCTTGTTCTTCTCATACCAGTGTCGTTCTACAACCTTTCCAGCATGCGACTGAAAAATAAATTATGATTCAGTGAGCCAGACAGCTGTAAATGATGAGATTTGATTTGACATAACATAGCCAAAAGCTGTACAAAGTTTTAAAAAACTATCTAAGGCTTTAAAAATTCTGTAAGTGTATCAAAGCATCTGTAAAGTAGCCTTATATATCAAGAAAAATATTTTTAAAAAGCCTGTAAAGTACCTTTAATAAGCTTGAATGTTAACTTTAAAAATCCAGTAAAGTTGCTTTAAAACTTATGCAAAGTAGCTTAACAAGAAGTTGCTTTACAAAGAGTGTTAAGTACTTTTAGAAAGGCTGTAAGAGAAAATGCTAATTGCTGTAAATAGCCAGTAACAGATTTGGAATCAATGAAACAAAACAACGAAATAAAAGAAGCTAGAAATTTGGAATAAATTTGGAATATCTATAATCCTTTTATTTGCTATAATTTATTAAAAATCCACACCTGATTTTATTTAAAACCCTGCAAAATTTCTTGAGGGTGCAGATGTGATGAAAATGCCAAATAACTGGACGTTTTCAGTATAAACGCTAATTGATGGATTTTTTTATGAAAACACCCAATATCTGAGTGTTACACCCAATAATGAAAACACCTATGGCGTTTTTTATCATTCTTTATTTTTTTTAACCGTGCTCCTATCAAAAATAGGATTAACACGTGCTCTAGCTCAAATATTTGCCTCTAATTTTTAGTTTCTAAATATGAAATTCAAATTTATGATCATTACGGTTCATCTTCTTTTAACACCATAAAACTTAATGCAAATAGAATTTTTCAGTATTCTTAAGATTGTTTAATCATCCATCAAATGCATCAAAATTCTTCGGCTCAGAATGTTATACTTTAACATGTATATGCACGAAAGCTTCTTTTGGGTTAAGCTAGCTTCACACTCAAACTTCAAATATTTACTTTCAAAAAATAAAAGTTTGCTTTCATGCACATGAATATAAGATTCCTAAGACGTCTAATATAAGATCGTAGATTCATCCATCATTGGAACGAATTGAAGAATAATCACATCCAACAAAATTAATAAGCTTCATGCTAACACAAAAACAAAAAAAATCTCTTGAAAGTGCATCAAACAAAATACACTAAATTGCATAAAACTCATGTGATATACCATTAAACACAAAAGAAGTTAAATACATATTCAAACATCCATACAGCCAATTTAGCCAAACTTGATGCTCGAATGAATAATAAAAAAATATATGCATCAATTTCATTCCATTTATTCTGATTCATTAAACATCCATACAGCCAATTTCACCACACTTGATGCTCGAATGAATAATAAAAGCATATATGCATTAGTTTAATTCCATTTATTCTGATTCATAAAGCTTTACAGAAATAGTTGAGAAAAGACAAATGAAGATGATAATAATGGTTCGGTAAATGAAGGAAATAATTTGAAAAATATGAACCCAAACTTTAATCAACTCAAAATCAAATAGATTTAAAATTATTTTCATTCCATTTATTCTAACAAATAGATAGTTGTTAGTCGAGGCCATTCAAGAAAGAAAAATGGACGCTTCACTGAAATTATACCTCATCTTTCTCTATAGTGGCATCAGCAACAGTTCGCACATCCTCATGAACATCAAAGTGAAAAAGCTGCAACAGAAATCAACCAAGTAATATCATTAACAAGCTAAGTTTCCAAAACAAGGAGCACCTTTTTTTTAAAAAAAAACATGGAGCACCTAGGGAAGTTTCCAAGTGAATGAGATTGTGAAGTGCCACGAACCTGGTGAACACGACAATGGCTTTACAACTATGATTCTAAGGTTCTAGACTTGCACACTCAAGGACTTTAGGCTACACTTCAAAATAAAGCATGGCACTGTGAAAAATGCATTAATATAACGAAATGGGTAATTACATGCATATTTTGCAGTTTTCTGAAGGAAGAAAATAAAGTTCAGATCACCAAAGCGGGGGACAAAGTATAAAAGATAGCAAGCAAAACCTATTAACCCAAACTAGAAATCAATCCGCTGCCTTCTGACATTATATATATATATATATATACACACTCTAACCTTACATAGTAACAGTTCAACTGATACAGCTAGCAGTAACAGTTCAACTGCCCATGTGGGGCCCAACACCTCTTTTATCACCTATAGGAGAAGAGGCTTTGGGAGTAAGCTCTTTGGGAAAGGAGGGGACTCTTTGAGAAAGATGTAAGAGGCATTTGTTAGATGTAAGGGGCATTTATTAGGGAGGATTTGAGCTGTTTAAGGGAGAAGATTTTGATAGGTTGGGGTTTTTTTATGTTATGTTTTGAATTTTTGCAGCAGCTTTTGTGAGGATTTGGATTCCTAGTAGCTTCTAGGAATTGTGGGGAGATGATTCACCTCTCGAACAGTGAATCAACTTGTATCTTGTCTTGCTTTGCTTGGAAATTAGTAAAAACAACTCTTTGTGTTATTACTTGATCTATTTGGAGTAAGTTGCTATTTTTTTTATATTGTTGTGTTATTTTGATCATCAAGTTTTATCAAATTGGTATCAGAGCAAGATTCGGGACCTATGGTGTCAAAGAAAGGGGATGCTTTGGAAGAAAAACTAGAAGGATAAGTTGGTCAATTCAAATCTGAAGTTGAGAAAAGGATTTCATCCATGGAATGAAGGTTTTCTAACCTAGAGGACATGATGAAGAAAATATTGGAGCTTCGCACCCAACTGGCAACATCAGAGGCGAGGGGACTGGCGGGTGGCTAAGGAAGTGGGGGGAACACCAATATCAACACAATAAGGGATGATCGAGAGGTAGAATTCGTGGGCGATAGGGAAAATATATCACCTCTTGACTCGATAACCAGAGGAAAATGGGTGAAGGATATATCATGAGGAGAAATGGGGAGGAAAAATTAAGGAGGGTTGATTTTGATGAAGAGGATATCTATGAAAGGAGGAGAGGTGGGACAGATCACAAAAATCGTTATATGGGAGGAGTAGGAGGTAGAAGAGGAAGTTGGAGCGGAGGGGATTTGAGAGTGAAAAAATTGAAGATGCCCGTTTTTGAATGGCATGATGTTCATGGGTAGATCTATAGGGTGGAGAGATACTTTGCAGTGAATGGGCTGACGAAGGAAGAGAGGCTCACGATGGCAGCTTTATGCTTGGAGGAGAAGGCCTTGTCTTGGTATCTTTGGAGAGACATAAGAGAACCAATTCGATCGTGGAGGGAGTTCAGGGATAGCTTATTAGAATGTTTCCAATCCAGTCGGCAAAGAGACTTTTAGGAGTAGTTCTTATGCAGAGTCAGAGACCCATAGCTTATTTCAGCCAGGTTTTGACCGCCAGGGTCAAGCTGAAATCAATGTATGAAAGAGAGTTGATGGCAATAGTGTTGGCAATACAGAAGTGGCGACCTTATCTATTGGGAAGGCATTTCATAGTCAGGACCGACCAAAGAAGTTTGAAGTTCCTGTTAAAGCAAAGGATGGTGGCAGAGGTGCATCAACGGTGGTTTTCCAAGTTGTTGGGGTATGACTTCGAGATTCAGTATAAGTTCGGGTTAGAAAATAAAGTAGGAGATGCTCTCTCCAGGCGTAGTGAAGACCCTCAAGTTATGGCTCTATCTAATCCCATGGTGATAGATTGGGAGGCTTTGAAGCATGAGTGCGAGCAGGATGAGGAGCTGAGTAAGATCAGAGGGGACTTGTTATAGGACAAGGATAGCCATCTTGGTTATTCTTTGATGGGTCAGAAGCTGCTATGTCAAGGACGGTTTGTGCTTTCGAGAAAATCGCCACACATCCCTCATTTATTGCAGGAGTTTCATGGTACAGCTATTTGGAGGGGGGGCATTCAGGAGTTCATAAGGCATATCATAGACTGGCAGCAGAGCTATACTGGATGGGCATGGAAAGGATGTAGAGGAGTTGGTGGCCAGTTGTGATGTGTGTCAGAGACACAAATATCTAACTATGGCTCCAGGTGGTCTTCTACAACCATTAGCATTACCAGAGAAGGTGTGGTAAGAGGTGACTATGGACTTCATTGAGGGACTACCTAGATCAGACGGGTTTACTGTGATTTTAGTGGTGGTGGAAAGATTGAGCAAATATGCTCATTTCGTTCCCTTATGCCACCCTTACACAGCAGTGTCAGTGGCAGCCGAATTCATTAGAGAGGTGGTTCATTTGCATGGCATACCCAAGTCCATTGTGTCCGATCGGGATAAGATCTTTTTGAGTCACTTCTGGAAGGAGTTGTTCAAGATGCAGGGGACTATCCTGAAGAGGAGTACGGCTTACCACCCCAAGACAGATGGTCAAACGAAGGTGGTGAATCGCAGTGTGGAGACTTATCTTCGTTGCTTTGTATCAGATAGACCAATGATGTGGGCCAAATGGTTAGCCTGGGCGGAATATTGGTATAACACTTCATATCATACAGCAACCAAGACAACGCCATTTAAAATTATATATGGGAGGGGTCCACCTCATCTGATACATTATGGGCAAGGCAACACACCAGTGTCATCAGTGGAGCAATACTTGGGAGAAAGAGATCGGGATTTAGCATAATTGAAGGAACATCTATAGAGAGTACAATAAATTATGAAGAAGCAGACGGATGGACATAGGAGAGGTGCAGTTTAAGGTTGGGGGCATGGTTTATTTGAAGATCTGGTCTTACAGACAGAGGACTTTGGCTCGACGAAGGAATGAGAAGCTTCCCCCCGCTACTTTGGACCCAATGATGTAGTGGAGCGCATTGGCTCAGTAGCATATCGCCTACGTAGCCACCGACCTCAGTCATTTATCCCGTATTTCATATATCGCAACTGAGACGAGCCATTGGAAACCACACACCCTCACCCGCACTACCGGCCAGGATATGGAGGTGAAATTAGAACCATTAGAGGTGAAAGGGGTGCGCCAAGGAGATAAGGGGATCAAGGAGGTGTTGATCAAGTTGAAGGATTTACCAAAATATGAGGCAACATAGGAGCCCTATATACTATTCATAAGCGATTTCCCTTTTTTCACCTTGAGGACAAGGTGACTTTTTGAGAGGTGAGTATTGATATAGCTGGCAGCAACAATTCAGCTTCCACCTCTTCTATCACCTATAGGAGAAGAGGCTTTGGGAGGAAACTCTTTGGGAAAGAAAGTGACTCTTTGGGAAAGATGTAAGGGGCATTTATTAAGGGGGATTTGAGCTCTTTAGGGGAGGAGATTATGGTGAGTTGGGATTTTTAATGTTATGTTTTAAATTTCTGCGGCAGTTTTTGTGAGGTTTTGGGTTCCTAATAGCTGCTAGGAATTGTGGGAGAGACGATTCACCTCTCGAACAATGAATCAATTTGTATCTTATCTTGTTTTACTTTGAAATTAGTAAAAACAGCTCTCTTTGTGTTATTTCTTGATCTATTTGGAGTAAGTTAATGTTTTTTTATATTGTTGTGTGTTGTTTTGATCATCAAGTCTTATCACAAACCTAATAGTTTTGAAACCTCAGAACTCTGATTTTCAATCTGATGCCTGTAATATAGCATGTAAATAACGAAACATTAAAGTTGATGATCATTGATTAAGTCATGTTATTGACCATGCAAATTTAGAATCAGAGTTCAATCCTCTACTCAAGAATTGAAGTAAAAGCAATTCATGCAGAAGCAAAAAAAGATAATTAACCTTGTCTTACTAACATTGTTACCAAAAAAGCATCAAAATAATAGGTTTAAGAAGTTGCGTTGCCGGTTTATAAACTAATATCATGTAATCTACTGATCATGCACACATATCAAAGGAGTGCCACATTGAAATCATATAATTTTGCAGTCCTACACTAATCCACAAAATCCAATTTGGCTGGAAAAAAACTAAGCAGAAAATCCTATCTAAACCTAAATTTCTAATTGACCTAAATATGAAGATCAACCAACCAAATATAATATGGTCAATGAGTCAAATAAAAATATCAAAATGTAACTTTTGAGGAATCATCTCTTGACATTATTTTAATGATGAATGTTTAATCCGATGTTGATTTTATTTTTATGTGTGCTTTAGTGATATATAAGTTCATAGATAGAAATTCATGACGAGAGCTAAGTAGTCCTGATATTCGATGGAATTTTTAACAAGAAGACTAAAAGAAACCCAAAATATAAAACTTCCTGCCTAGTTGATTCTAAAGGTGACTAATTCATCGCAACCAATTTTAAGCCATTTGAGTTGGATTTCACACCCATATAGGTATATCATAATTATGTGGCTTGTCAAAAAAAAATAAAAATAATAATTATGTGGTTTATCTGCTTACAATTATCTTAACATTTACCTTTCTAAGAATTTGAATTAGATTATTAGTAGTATTTTGCAAAACACTTGGCATTTCAACATTTCATCACTTGCTTCATATCATTTGCATAATTTGGGTGATTTACATAAATTGCATGAGACAATTTAAAAAAAAAAATAACAAATATGAGTTAACTATGACAATTACAAACTTTATGCTAATATAAGTAGGATGCAGCAAGTGGAGTTTAACCTAGTGATAAAAGACATTGTGTTTCTAAATCCATAGCTCTCTTTAGAAACCTTTAAAATTTTGAAAGCAAGAAAGGCAATGTTTTGGCAACTAATGGCCACAATTTAGAAATTCCTAGAAATTCTAACATAAATCTTATTTTCAACTTGTTTTGATCTTATTTCATGAAAAAGATAAATATCAAAATGTTCCATCAACACTTAACAACTTAAATGATCCCACAAAATGACTAATTTAGTCTTTATTTAAATAATTATGGGATCAAATTGATACTTGTATATAATCGGGGATAATTTTGGTACTTCAAAAAAAGTTAGGGGACACCAATTTGATCTTTTTTTTTCTTTCATGAACCTATTGTCAATAGCTTATTTCTCTTTAAATATTTTTACAATGCAACACACATCCAAATGACTATATGATTGTTTTATACAACCTATTCTCAAAGCAATTCCACTCTATTAAAAGTGGATTTTAGCGACAACAAGTGCAATGGAAAGACAAATCTGTTTGTGGTAACTCATGAAATTACATTTTAGGAAGCATAATTTATGTTTAGATTTTTTTTAAGAATATCAAATATTCAATTCGTCAGAGTTAAACTTTTAGGAACTGAGCAAATTGATATAGTAGAACCCCATGAACGATGGAATTGTGATTTATTCATTCACTACTATGGTTGGCATTCTCCTTTAAATGAATAAATTTGGACTTTTCCACTCTCCTTTAGTTGAGGAATCTAGATTTATTTCTTGTGGGGTAGGTTGTTAGATTGGTTCTTTCTCCCACTTTATGTTTATACTACATTTTTTTTTTCCTGCAGGAAGATTACGATTGTGGTTTATTATGATCCTTATCTTGCGGTGTGCATGAAAGGTTTAGCAATCCTATGATGTGCATGTAAGCTACAACTCTGAGGGTTTGCATTTGTGGTTCTATGCTAGATTTGAGATGACTAGTATATTATCAGTAGATTGTGGTTGATTGATTGGGATGAAAGTTTAAAATCAAAAATAAGTGCATGATTGCTAATTATCGTTTGGAATAAATTAAGCTTGAATTGAGCTGAACCTGTGCTAACCATACCAAGTAGCAAAGGGATAGAGTCTATATATACGTATTCTAAAGCATATAAAAAAAATCTTGGCTTGAATAAAATCTCTTTTCAATTTTAATCTTGTGAGTGCAAGCTATATGTAATTCATTTGAGTGTGATGCAAGTGTGATTCCTAAATATATGGGAAGACATCTTGTACCAGCATAAAGCCTATTTTTTCTTTATTTTGGTACTTGTGTTCCTCATTCATATTTCAACTACATATTTTGATTTGTTTTATTAGCACTCTTGATTTTGTAAATTTAGCATATCAGAAATTCAATTTATAAAAATTATATTATGATTGCTCAAATTATTTTGATCTATGTGGTTCTAAATTTTTGTTGAATTTCTCAAATTATTTGATCATTTTGTTATCATTTAGGTTCTAATTCTAACATTGCTAGCTCAAGTGGTTGAAATATTTGGTAGCTTGTGATTTATAATCCTCAATTTTCTTCGCATAATATGTATCATATTTGTTGCATTAGAAAATCCTAACTTTAAGTCATCCTGCATCGTAAGAAGTTTAGACTATCTCTTCCATTTCTATGTATTTTTTTCTTCATACATTCTTAGATGTTTGAGGTCTTATGTTTGCATGTTCAGATGCACAAATGCATAATGATTGTGTTTTTCAGTTTGCATGTGCATGCTAGCTAAGATGGATGGTTGGATTGTTTCACCTAACATATATATACATATGACAAATGAATGAGTGGCCAGATAGAGAAAGGAGAATTTTTTTTGCGTAGTAACCCACACTTTTGCTTGTATACTTCTTTGGGTCATGTATTCAATAGAAAGCATATGGCCTACTTTGCTTCACAATAAAGGTCAAATTGAATAAGCATAACTGTGGAAATAAGAAAATGTTAAATCATTTGGAAGACAGCAAGACGTAGAGCAGAGCAAATTAGAAGTCAAATGACTATTAAAACTGTATTTGATGACTACACAAAGAAAGATTATTTAATTGAAAAAAGGTGTAGGACCGATCACATAGCTTAACAGAAGTGATAAGAGAAAGATCAAAACAAATCAAAGGTATGAAGACGAGGTATGAACTATGAAAACGGCAAGATTACTGCAGCAGTAATTATCAATCAAAACAGTCAACGGCAACAGTATTCAGTAAAAGAAAAGAAATGCTTATACACAAAAATAAGAAGTCTCAGTTAATAAAAATAGCAAAAGAAATTAATCAGGGATTATAAGACAGTCCTACAACAAAGAAATTACCGGTCCACTTTTCCCTCTAGCTTTGTTGATGATTAACTCGTAGAAACTGTATTGCTAAAACATCAAAAGAAGAGAGTTACATTTATTTTCCTCTCATTCAAACAAGATGGTCATCAAATACACTCTGGAAAAAGAATAACACATACATGAGGAATGATTAGATCTTCTTTCACATATACCAAGTTCTCCACTGATGTTGTTCTTATCTCCCTAAACTCGGGGGCAAGCTGCTGCTGAACAGCTCTAAGAAATTCTCCGATGGTATCACCTTTCCTAACCTAAATAATGAGATGATTATTAAAATAAATTAACATTGAAAAGCTATAAAAAAAAGTTATATATATGTGTGTGTGTGTGTATATATATATATGACAAGGATCAAAATTGGCGGCTAATGGAGAGGTGGATGCATTATATTGCCTGTATAACTCTCCTGTGCCCTGCACCATCCCAATAGCTGTAAGTGATTTCAAGGGGCTCATCTGGAAAACACAACATTGTAATTTAAGTAGTATTGAAGGCTAATCAGTTACTCGAATTATGTTTAGAACAGTCCCATATTTCTTGAAAACTTACTTCGAATTATCTCCTGTTCACGTAGCCATTGCTTGCACAATCGCTCCCTTTCTGCTTGTTCCTCAGCCTCTCTCTCACTGAAAGATCATCCTTGGTACTACCAAGTCAGGGATCAGCCCAGTCAAGAAGTAACATGCTAATTTACATAATTATGTTTGAGGAAAATATACAAAGGAATGTGAAAATACCTATCTGGTAAAAAGCTTGTCTCGACAGTCGGGTCTTTTCCAAGCTTTCCATTACCAAACTTCTTCTGATCTGAATGTTCTTCCACCAAAAGATAGTAAGCACATGTAAGCATTACGTTATGACTCTTGAAAGATAAATTCCTAAAGCTAAATAAACCACCAATAACTTATAACAAAAAAAAATTTTAAATTAGAACCAAACCAAATAAGAAATGTTCTTGTGCAAGCATATCTTAGTAAATGTTGTCACTATATAAGATGATAGCAGATTAGCAGCTTGAGGTATATTTATTTTCAAATTCTAGAGTTCTGAATTTAAGCGTTTCCGTCACTTGAACAATTATGAAGCACAACATTTTGTAAACTAACAAACCTTACAGCCCATTCATTTAGGCTAGAGGACATCTCACTAGTTCACTATGTTTCCTGAGAGAAAACAGCAATGTAGAAACGGATATCCAAATAATCACTTAACCGTCACTTGAAAACATTAAAATAGAAATAATGTCTGGGGAAAAACATCAAAAGAAAAAATCTAGAGCCCATATAAGCTCCGTTGGGGACAGCTTTCTTACTGTTTTTTAAAGTAGCTTTTTAATACAAAATTTTTTAAATTAAAATTTTATATTAAAAATTTACTTTAGAAAGCAATAAAAAAATTGTCCCAAATTAAGTAGTAGTCTAGCAAGATATGGAAGGTAAGCATGCATGTTAACTAGCTTCGTATGAAAAAATCCTTTAGTCCACTGAATAAAATTTTCAAATGATAAGCCGATAGAACCCTAGGCCTTATAAGAGATCATAAAACAATTTGAAGAGATTGGTGTCTCCAACACATTAAATTAGTATAAACAATCATTTCCATCAGAAAAAATAAAAATTTACTCCTTATTTTGACTAGTAAGGAAATATATTGAACCAGCATTATGACATGAAACCTTCCTAAGAACAGCAAATCATCAAGTTCATTTTCAAACCAGAATCAAGAAACTGAATAAAATTACGATTTACTTTATGCAGGGAACAAAATTTTAATCAAGATTACAAGGATGGGATAATCTACAAGCTTTGTAGGTCCAGGATCCTATAACTTAACAGTAGCAAATGTGCCTAAGTTTTAACCTATTAGCTGTCCAAAATAGTTACAGCAAATTACAAACTGCAATAAACTTGTGTCATAGAACCAATCACTCATGTTTTCAAATTGCATTCTTCTGAACTCTCAAAAGTTGCTTCTTCCTAAAATTAGTGTACTAGATTCAGATCTCGCTATTGCAAATAATTACTGCCAGTACAAAATCAAGGAGAAGAATCTGAATCTAATTACGCTTCATTTGACCAATATGTAGCAAGTTATAACCTATTTATTAGAATCCATAAAAAAAAGTAACAAGTCTCCATTTCTTTCTCTAAACATTTTCTCTTCAAGTTTTGAAATGAAAAAGGATTATGAAGGAAAACAAATTTGACACAAGCAAGATCTAAGAAACATAACTCCCACAAATAATTGAAAATATTATCTCATCATCAGAAATCTCCATGTTAACTCTCCAAAAAATTCGCCCTCCGATACTTCCAAAGTAACTGCTACAGAGTACATTAGTCGTCTCCTATGACTTGTGACTTCTTTGAAAAACTCCATTCCTCAAACTGATCAAACAGATATAAAAGGCAGGTTCTTTTGCAATTTGTTTGATCACTCAGTTGATTTCAAGAGGGTAATCAACTGAGTGATCAAACAAATTGCAAAAAACCACATTCAAACTTGATAGTTGTATAGAAAATCATTGTTTGATTATCATATTGGCAGTTCACAGAAATGCATCTTCTTTTTGTCGTAACAAATCAAGAACTGTAGCTAGAAATAAACATAAAATTCGGATTCATTTACAAGTTTATGTTCTTTCAGGATGAAGTTTCATATAGCTCCTTATTTTATTTCATGAATTAGAGATGAAGAAAAGAAATTACAAACTCTTTTTGTCCAAGTAAAGCACATCATGCATCTTCAACAGCCCCACCCACCACTTTCTTCTGCTACAAATTACCAAACGATCATAAGCGCCAAAAAAAAACATCATATTTGTAGATCAATTAGGTAGTCATATTTATGTTTGTTGGGATGCATTTCTCACTTTGAGGAGAGCAGTTGATTTTATTTTTCCATCAATAAATAGATATGAAGTCCAAGAAAATAGATCCCACTCCAGATCTCAAACCTAGAGCCCTAGACTCTAATTACTATAATCATTTTTCCCTATGCCACCCAGATACATTTATCATTCAACCTAGCAGGAAGATTGCGTGATAATGTTAATACTACATTTTCTCACTGATGTTTTGCAAGTTAAATCCTCAAGATACTTTGCTCAGTTGTAAACTCCAAAACTAATATGGCCTTCTAAATTAGAGCCAATACATATATATATAATACAACGATGATCAAGTGAAAGAGAACATCATTAGCTTTTGGGAGCAGCAGAATTTTGGAATCCTCATTGTGACGGCATTATAGTTGAATGCGATTTGTGTCAACAACACTTTATGCATCCCTTTGCACAAATTCTAAGAATGGTACATGTGATCTACCACTAATCATTCTTGTTCCATTGATATTAATTATCTATTGATATGATATTGGTGTGCTTACTACACTTACATTGAAGATGACCCTCGTTTCTTTGATATTTTAACTATGTATTGCTATGATATTAGTGTGCCATCTATTCTTAGATAGAATATGCGCTCAAAGTTATTTCTACAATCTTCTCAGTAATCGACACAACTTTCATTGCCTTTAATAAAATAATCTATTATTCTTACATTCCTATATTTTCTATACACTCTTGTGAGTCTTGTCTTAACATTCTCATTCACGATATATTTAGTAGTAAATATTTAAGTCTCAAGACTAGAATTCATAGAACCAAGCTCGTTTATGTTCATGAACAATATCAATCAAAGCTCGTGAACAACCTTGATAAGAAACTCGTTAAAAAGCTTGATTAAATAGTTATTTTGTATGTTTTCACAAAATTTTTTGTTTTATTATAATAAGTTATTCTTATTATATAAAAAAATAATTATATTTTTTATGCTATACTATTTCATTATAATGAATTTGTTCATAAACAAGAGGTATTTATTCATGCTTGTAATATTTTTTGTTAAAAGTGTTCATGAACAAGCTTGTTTATAAGAAGAATTATTTTATAAGCTTGTTTGTTCGTGAACAAGCTCGTTTGGTAAATCGAAATTACTCCCTATATATATTCATGAATGGCTCTAGGTGATTGTTCGTTAGTAGGCTCAATAAGGCTCGTTTGTTTAAATCTTGATAAGCATAACGAACCGAATATGAATCAAACACGAACATCTATTCTTTTAAACGAACCAATCTTGAACACAAATCGGCTTGGCTCGGTTCACTTGCCGCCCTATAAACAATGTCATCACCTCCAGAAAATATGTAGAAATTAATATAAATAACTTGGAAGATACAAATCAATATGTAATTATCAACAATAAAGAAATTGAGAAATCTATATCTCAATATGTTTTTCTATGTTCATTAAAACAGCATGCTGTGACTGCTATAATGACGAAATATAAAAATCAATGGAGATGAATAGTAAGGAAACAATTTAACTAGTAACAAAAAATCCTATCTAATAGCAAACCAAATAAATCACAAAAGAATTAATAGAACAGAAATCCTATTTTAAGAGAAACCTGTATGACTGAAACATATGGTTGGAGAACTTTGCAATTTAGAAATGAAGTTCGCAATTTATTTCTACCAAGCACTTTTGGGGGATAAAGCAAGTGCTTCTTATGGGCTTCGCATTACTTGGTTTCAAAAGTGCAAACTCATTTTGGATTAACAAAACTAAAAACAAGATGGTCAGTTTAATTGTAACTTAATAAAAAATTTTAGTAAATCACCCACTCTCATGATACTCCTGAAGCACTTATTTCAACCAATCTACTTTAAGTGTAGAGCTATCCCCTCATCATATACACATTCCATTATATGATAGATTCAAGATATGTGAACCTTTCGGGACATAGCGTTACTTGACCCTTCAACATTATTAACTTGTAATTATTACTTTCACAGCTACTAATATGCAAATTATGTACTCAGTCCTCATTCTACTTATCCCCAAATTATATTCTTAACTCCCTCACCATTGCCCTAATTTTTACCTAATTATAAATTTTATCATTTGTAAGAATTAGACCATCTACAAAAGCATGTAATACAAGATTAGCCTCATATTGGGCAATGAAGTAATAAGGATCAAATATAACAATGATGACAATATTCTTTTAGTCATGCAGGAACTTAACTAATCAAAACATAAGCAATCTTATATTAAATAAATTTCATTTACTTGTGCCCTATTGCTTGAATCTAAAGCAGCTGCATTCAAGCATCTAGTCTTGGCTATTGCTTTCCCAAAGCACAGGCTACGTTATAAATCTTAAGTAGAGATTAATGGATGCAACATGACATTTTCTCTCGTTGAGCAAAAGAAACTTTTCTCAAGATTCGAATCAATAACCTCCACAAACTAATGAGGAAACATAACTGTAGTGCAAAGTAAGTCCCATCCCACCCCACCCCACCCCACCCGCATCAACACTTGACCACTTAATTTTCCAAAATTCAAAGAATATAAATCTGGATATCAAAAGCAACATCACTTTTCTACTGAAGTTATAATTTTGGTTTCTTCATATTGTAAGACAAAGATTTGTTTTTCCATAAACATTAATCACTTTCTAATAGCACGATTTATATGACAACAGTGTTTTGGAAAGTCACATGGCAATCATCTCCTTATTACAACGAAGACTACTACCTAACTAGAACTTGAACATCAAAGTGCATCACTGCTTCACTCTTTAAAGTCACATGACAATCATCTCCTTATTACAATGATAACTACTAGCTAACCAAAACCAGAACATCATTCATCACGGCTTCCCTCTTTTACACTCTCATCACTAACTCTTGTGTTGAAATACAAAACTAAGAAGAGACAAATTAATCAAGACAATTCACCAAAAAAATTTAGGTGTGCACATAGTTCAGCATGCAACCCATCACAAGCAAAAGATCTGGTTGGGGTGCTCTTACTATTTTCTAAATCCTCCTCATCGCTTCCGTTATCAATATCATCATTGAATGACAGACGCGCATCACCTTTTACTCTCCTCTTCTTCCTTTTTTGCATTTGAAGTTCTTCTTCCCTACAATAGAAATGGAAGCAGAAGTCAACACCAAGTAAGACTTGTACATCCTAAAAATTGGTCAGGCTAAAAGAAATGACGCACTCTTGTTGCAGTTTCTGAAGTTTCTCTTTCTCCTCTTCCTCAATCTTGTTCCGGATGTTAACACGCTTCAATAGATAATATTTTCATAAGCCAATAGCAGATAGATGAATAGTCTTAATTCAAAATTAATAATAAAAAATAAGAAATATAACTAGATAAAGTTCTTCATACCTTTTCAACATACTGTTCCCTGGTGACCAGACCAACTGTTTCCTTCTTAAAAGCAGTCTCAAGAATCTGGAATGCAATCAAAACAATTTCCAATCAAACACTAAATCAAATGGCTATAATGTTATATCATTTATGAAATTTATACATATCAACAAGTATATGTGATGTAGGCAAAAGGGGGGGTCAAAATATTTTGGACTTCAAGATCTTCTGGTTGATTTTCATTCACCACTGGATCACTGTTTTTATCTTTTTTCCATTTTTCTAAGCACTTAAAAAAAACACAAAAAAAAATCTAGAAAGACACAAACCTAGGCTTTGATACAAAATTGATGCAACCAAAAGTTCCCCAAAACAAGTGGGAGACCCTTGGTCACAAAAAAGAAACAAAATAAAAACTAAACTAAGCCTCCACAACATATACTAAACACTTCTTTTATCTCAATATAACATACAAGTTTAAATAGAAAGACACAACATCACATTTGTAAAGCAAAACATTACTTTAATAGCTTGAAATGAAATGACTCTTACAAACTTATATAATAAGAACACCTAAACTTGCATTCCATCGCTTGAGCAGAAAGATACAATTGGCGTCGAACTTGCGGAGAGAAAAAAGGAGATAAGAAGCCGAGACAAAAGGGAGGACAAGCTCGCAAGCTTTCCTAAGAGGAAGACGAAGAGACGAGGCATAGCTCGCAAGCTATCCTAAAAATCCCTCAGGTTTTGATCCAAAAATTTTCATCAAAAGTCTCTTTCTTTTATTAACAAAACACCACATATATATAGGAGAAAAGGGGCAGCCAAACAGCCCATAATCACTTCCAATTTAACTAATCAAAAAGGGGAAATGGAAGGTCAAAAATCAGTCCATAACAGCTCCCAAACAGCCACAAAAAATAGGAAAAAAAGCAACCAGGGGAACCGAAACAGCAGCCAGGGGAACAGGAAAAGGCAACCAAGGTAACCGGGACAGCAGTCCAAGGAACTGGGGCAGCAGCCAGGGAAGGGAACCAGAACAGGCAGCCCAAGGAACCAGAATAGGAAGCCAAGGGGAACCGGAATAGACAACCGAATGGGGGAAGGAACTAGCCATGGGAAGAAGAACCAAGTGGGGGAACCAAATGGCCATTAGAGAGGAGGGAATGAACCAAATTAAATCCTCACAATGAGCTAAAAAGGAAGTAAATTACCCATAGTAATGAGCTAAAAAACAGTAGCTCAAGCATTAATGAGCTGATTTTTGTAGAGGTCAAAGAAGCTCACCAAAATTACAACCCAAAATATTTTGACCCCCCTTTTGCCTACATTAATATGTCCATGCAAACCAAGCTTTCTAATCATGGGATATGTGGTAGAAGTTGGGCCATGGAGCATGCAAAGATGAAGACAAGAAAAAGCTTAGAACAAAAAAAAAACTAAAGCATGAAAATTTTATTAAATTTAAAAAACATTTGGGATTACAAGAGATGTTTCATATTTAAAATTAAACAACAACATCAAGCCTTTATCCCAATATGTGGGATTGGCTACATGAATCCTTTTTCTCCATTCTGCCCTGTTAAAAGTTAAATTCACATTTAAATCTAATAAAGAAAGGTCATTTCTAATATTTTCTAACCAAATTCTTGTAGGTCTACCTCTACCTTTCTTAACACAAGACAAATCTAATACATCTTCTTTCCTAACCGGGTCATCAGAAGGCTGTCATTTTATTGAAAGTTCGTGAGGGTTGTGAAACCGTAAAGAACTAATCTCGAGGCTAACCAATAGGGGGGTGAATTGAATATTTAAAAAATATTCTTTCAACAAAAAGAAAAATCCCCTTTTTAAAGCTTTTTTAACGTCTGAAAATAGATAATTAATACAACATAATATCAATCACAGATTTTCAATCAAGCAGTTAAGTCCAAAAATAAATGCGAAAAATAAAGTGCGGAAAAAATAAAATCAGAAAGAACACACTAGATTTATAGTGGTTCGATCCAACCTGACCTACGTCCACTCCTTGGAGGCATCTTGATGCGGAACATCTTAAGATAAGGGAATACTTAACCTTATATTATGCTACAGCACTAGTACCATTTCATTTCTACTTCAATAATTTATTTTCCACTACTCTAAATTTCATTTTCTATTATGCTGTCGCACGACCCTTGCTTTAGTTAGTTATTTCCACTTCTAGCTTTTATGCAGTAATGCTTATATAGCTGTATTGGAGAACTATAGAAGACAGAAGATATACAAACTAATATTACATAACCATTTTCGGTTGTCTTGTTCACTGTTCTATTCGTTTTGCTAACTCTTGATTTCCTCCATCGATACCCTACATTAGTTTTGGTATTAGAGCTCGGTGCTTGGGGGTAATGGCAGAAAGTAGCAGGCGAGGGACTGGCGACAAAGTTCGCAGTCTTGATACCCTTTGGGAACTCCATAGCAACCTTAATCAGAGGTTAGTTGATCTATCCATTGATCTTTTTTTGGTTGTCTATGGATATGTGTAGGGAGTTTCAAGCCATCCGGACTGAGATGGAGGGGAATCGCCACAATTGGGCACCTGTGCAAGCCACATTGGCTTAGGGAAGACGTGGTCGGGAACGCGTCCATCGGCGTAGGCACGCGCCACTAGTTTCACAGATGACGAAATCAGAGGAAGAGGATTCTGAGCAGGTTAATGCAGATGTACCTTCTGAATCGGAGGAAGAACAATTGCCTATTCAGTGTGCTCGACGGTGCCGTGGAATGTATCATGGCCGCTCACAAGGTGAATTTCGAGTGAAGCTCGATATTCTATTGTTTGATGGTCGGTTACACATTGAGGACTATCTAGATTGGGAAAGGTCGGTAGAAACCTTTTTCGAGTATATGGACATTACGCCGGACAAGCAGGTGAATTATGTGGCATGTCGCTTAAAAGGGGGAGCAAGTGCTTGGTGGATGCAGCTCCTTCAGACGCGAAGGCGGGAAGGTCGTGATTCAGTTCGCAACTGGCAACGAATGAAGCAGCTCCTTCATTCTAAATACCTACCCACAGACTATGAGCAAATTCTCTACCATAAGTATCAGCATTGCAATCAAGGCAATAGATCTGTTAGCGAATATATAGAAGAATTTCACCGCATTAGTGCTCGCAATAATCTCAATGAATGCGCCAATCATTTGGTTGCCCGGTACATAGGGGGACTTAAGGAAACCATACAAGATAAGCTAGAGATGAATTCCGTTTGGTCGCTTTCACAGGCGGTCAATTTTGCTTTGAAGGTTGAAATCCAACTGTCCAGAGGGAGTAAACAGCATGTTGGACGGCGGCAGTTTTTTGATCATCAACAGGACATGGTGAAAACTAATATCACACAAAGCAAGACATTGGTTGGGCCTCACAATCCTACTATTGCCACTCCGTCCCTTGTACAGAATGCAACGCAAGGAGTGACTTGTGATCCGAAGCTACAACCAAAATGGAGGCCACATGTTCGAGAGAATCCGTATGCTAGACCAAGTACTATCAAATGCTTTTGATGTTTTCAGGTAGGACACAAATCCAATGAGTGCCCAAGCCGACCGCAACTACAGCTAACTACTGTTGAAAATGAAGAAGTGCAAGGGGAAGTTGAACAAGAGCCTGAACTGGAAGAAGAAATCGCACCTAACACAGCGAACCATTGGTGTGTGTCATGGAGAAAATTTTATTGGCACCGAGGCAACAGCAGTAGAATTCCCAACGGAATTCAGTTTTTAAAACCCGATGCACTATCAATGGTAAGGTGTGTGACTTAATAATTGATAGCGGTTGTACCGAAAATGTTATTGCACGATCGGTTGTCCAAGCACTTCAGCTCAAGACCACTAAAAGTTTCCACCCTTATAAAATCAGTTGGATAAAGAAGAGAATGGATATCATGGTATCAAAATGTGTCGGGTCACTTTTTCAATAGGGAAGCATTATGTTTGTGATGTGCTGTGTGATGTTCTAGATATGGACGTATGCCATATTATCCTGGGTCGGCCGTGGCAGTTTGATGTTGGGGTTCTTTATGACGGCAGGTTCAATTCTTACTCTTTTGATTGGAAGGGTAGGCGGCTCAAACTTATTCCATATCCTACTGATTGTAAGGACCACAAAAGAACAAGATGGTTGTTATGCACATGGTTACGGGCTCAGCTCTCTTACATGCCAGCAAAGAGAATTCAATAATCTTTGCTCTAGTTATTAAGGAGAATTGCCCTCAAAGTATTATTGGTAGCATACATTCTAGGGTGCAACAACTGTTGAAACAGTTTCCTGGAATTGGACCTAAGTAGTTACCTGCTTCACTTCCACCACTTCGTGCCTTGCAGCACCAGGTCGATTTCATTCCGGGGTCCAACCTACCTAACTTGCCGCACTACAGATTGAGCCCAAAGGACCACTTGACTTTGCAACAACTCGTGGATGACTTATTGGAGAAACAATTGATTCAACCTAGTCTGAGCCCGTGTGTCGTTCCCTCACTTTTAGTACCGAAAAAGGATGGAACATGGCGGATGTGTATGGATAGCAGAGCTATCAATAAGATTACAGTTAAATTTCGATTTCCCATTCCTCGATTTGAATAACTACTAGAAAAGCTTGCGGGATCAATTGTTTTCTCTAAGCTGGACTTACACAGTGGTTACCACCAAATTCGTATCCGGCCCGGAGACGAATAGAAGATGGCTTTCAAGACCCGTTAAGGCCTGTATGAATGGAAAGTCATGCCCTTCGGGCTTTGCAATGCTCCAGCCACATTCATGAGGCTCATGAATGAAATTTTAAAACCTTACTTGAATAAGTTTTGCGTTGTCTATTTCGATGATATTCTAATTTTTAGCAAGACTTTAACCGAGCATTTGCAACATCTGCATCACATCTTTGAAGTGCTGAAAGAGAACAAGCTGTATTTGAACTTAACCAAGTGTGAATTTGCCACGGACACTGCCTATTTCCTAGGTTTTATTATTATAGCTAAAGGGGTGCGGGTGGATCCTCAGAAGGTCAGAGCTATAACCGATTGGCCTACTCCAACTTCATTTTTTGATGT